CTGAGATGATTCACATGGGGGGGGTTATTGTTAGGGATGGTGAGGGTTTCATTCTTAGGGGATATAAGTGTAGAGTTTACGAGAAGCAGGTCAGTCTGCAGAGACCTCATCAAGGGTTCAGGGTTTAGGGCTTAGGGTTTAGGGGTTTAGGGTTCAGGGTTCAGGGTTTAGGGTTTAGGGTTCAGGGTTTAGGGTTTAGGGTTTTTGGATTCAGGGTTTACGGTTGGTCAGCTCGGCTTCTGGAAGCTACCAGGTGACTCTGGGCCCGCATCCTGTGAACTGTGTAGTATCTACCTTCGGCGGACCCCCCACCCAGTAATAGTGACTATAAGGGATAATACAGATTAAATTAGGGTCCTCTTATATTCTTATTATACCACTATTACAGGGTGGGGGGTCCTCCTAATATCTACCACTCCGAGCTAAATAGCTGGAGCGGAACACATGGAACTCGCTTGCCCTAACTCGGCAGAACGACCCATCACCAGACTTGTGCTGATGGCGTCCAAGACGCTGCGTCTAGATCTTGGGCTGTCTGCGTAAGAAAAGGCCAGATATGCAGCCTAAGCTTCATTGCAACCCCTAATTACTCTCCCATTCCAAAAAAAACCTAGAGCTCTAGACGCTCGGCCCTAAGCCTGAATCCGACACTCCTATCCCAGCCTCAAGTGCGCAACCCAGGTGAGAAGGTCGTGGTCGTGGAGGCCCGCACGGCTGAAGCAGCCTGGCCTGAGGCTTGATTCGATGAGTTCGACTTGCGGCGTGGTGGTCTCTTCGAGAAATGCAGCCACCTAAGTTTCAAATAAGTATCCACGTGATATTCTCAGAGCCCCTGTAGAACACGAGTAGAGTGTGCTCCAAAAACCTAGTTGTCTCACTTGCGCACCTCCATTAGTTTCTGGTTTTCGCGGAGGGACAGTATGTACATATCGGAATATTGGAACTCCCATTGACGGTACGCAGTGATTATGTGAAGGTATACGCAAGTAAAGCCTAAACCCGAGACCCAGAGACCACCAGCCGGAGTCATTTTGGAGTTTCCGAAGATGGTGGCCCACAGGTGCACCCAAAGTCCACCTGAAAATGGGGCTCCCAACTTTCGGATACTCTCGCATGAGTATGTGCCAAACCAAGGTGGAGGGCTAAAGGGTTTAGGATTATAGTCCCGCTAAGTAGATAGAATATGGCTTTGGGTAGACTAAAATGTGATCCCCATATATCCCATATTCTACCTACTTAGGGGGGACTATAAGGGTGCAGGGCTGGTTAATTGAAATCTCAGGGCTGGGGAACCCCCACATTACAAGTCTTCAGTGGGGTGCTGCAAGCAGCCTCGGGCGGGCACCCAAGTTTGCACCTACTCACTTGGATGTGCCTTGTACAAGGCCCACCTGCAGTGTTGCATCTGGACTGGCTTTGGGTTCCTATGCTTTATCAGAGGTGAGACTTCGTAGAGGCATGGGTACTGACCTTGCCTTCCTTCTGGATGTTTGTAGCTGTGTTGTTGTTTTTGGCATGTGGGCCGTTCGCCGCCGTGGAAGGCGTCGGGGAGGGGGCGGGGGAGGGTCCGAACCACGCAAATTCCATGGTAATGATAGCGTTTTCTTTGCTTCAGGCTTCGTGGGAGCGAGGTCTTTTTCCGATAAGTGTTTGGAAAATGTATGCATTTGCAGTGTGTTTTGCGTGTCGACAGTTCAAAGTGCTGCCATTTACAGCTTTTCGGGTCTTCGGGACATGGGCGGTTTTTTGGACGACATCGTTTTCCGGGCGGCGGCCCTCAAAAAGGTGTTTCTGCATTCTCTGTGCAGACGCCTGCCTTGCCAGAAGCTGCAGTATCTGTACTTGGTTGGACAACGCGTTCCCACAGCGACTGCAAGCTTTCAACCCATGCACAACTAGTTCCGTCCTCCTAACAGGTGACGATGACTATGTGGAGTTCCATGGTACTTCAAGGGCGGTGGAGGACATCTCTTATCATATGTCATTTATGGATGCACTGAGCTGAAGGTGTAGGATTCGATTGCAGAGTTTCAAGAACAGTTTCAACTCCGTGCTACTTTTCTTGTTCACTGCCTTTTGACGTGACTAGTCATTCCTAGCGCAAAGTTCCTTCCCATAGCTGCGAGGAGGCAGTCAAGCTTCGCTATTCTCAAAGATTGGGCCTTGAAAGAGCACGCCATGTCACCGGCATGGCTGGCATTCTAGTACACAACAGCCTGACTCTACATGGGGCCGCTTGAAACTTTGGCGCTCTTCTGTAGGCAGCATCAAGCATCTGCTGGAACCAGAGGTCGCAGATCCCAAATTTACCACGTGTGTCAGTGTTTTCAGTCCCTTCTCCTGCATGTATTCCAGAAACCTTCCGAAATCACTCCACATGCCTTTCACGGCAGGAAGCTCGCATACCTTGTTTTTGGAAGGCGGTTCCCATTTGTATTTGGCAAAGAACGAGGGCAGCGTCACAGCCTTGAGTTTCATGTGTGCGTGGGTTGTTATACTAATAAGATCAGGGTGTCGGGCGGGTTTTCGCCAAGATGTGTATGCCCTGGACCCTAAACTCCCTAAGCCGTGAGCAATTTAACAGCTTGATGCAACATTGCTGCGGAGCACGGACTACAGCAAGTAGAGGGATGCCTGACGTGAGCAAAGCTCCGTTAACCTTGCCTGTATGGGGATTGATCTAAAGGTCCTTTGGGGGAATTTTTTAGGGTTCCCGTAGGTTTACACGGGGATAGTATGAGGTAAACTAATTGCCATGCTGGCCAGTTTGGGACCAGATTTTTGATCAATTCCCTTGTATGACCTAGATTTGACCTTTCATTCTGCATTTTGGCAGGCTGGTGGTCTCTTTATGTAAGGCCTCTGTTTTCCAGAGCATTTCTGGGCATCCGGATTATAATTCATAATGGAACAGATAAAGAGACCACCATTATTCAAAAGATCGGAACTAGCAAGCGGCCCTGCGGTCTGTTTTCCCGTATGAATAAAATAGCTTCATGAATATTGTTCTTTTCCGTTTGATTCATATTCTCCACCATGTGTGACTATATATGTATATACGTCCCTACATAGGGGCACATTTTGAAATCCATTGGCCTCGTCAACATAGATGTCCAGCCCTGCCTCCAACTTGGCCTTTACCATCGAGGGTTGGTCTTTGATTTGACGGCATGAAAAAAGTCAGATCCAGCTTTGAAGGCAGAGCACAGGTGCGTTTGTATTTGCTTTTGGCATTTTTCCAGGAGATTCTGTTGCTGGTGCATTATCGCCAGCAGTCAACAAAACTCTCCCATGAATGCCGTTTCTCGCCGTGGCAAACATTGACATGACGTAGCAGCCGCCTGCACTGCTAATAATGGATAATAATGGTGCTCTGATTCAGTTTGCCTTCTCATCTGTATTGGCCAAAAGAACGAGGGCAGTGTCACAGCCTTGAGTTTCAAGTGTGCGTGGGTTGTTATACTAGTAAGATCAGGGTGTCGGGTGGGTTTTCGCCAAATGCCCTTGGCCCTAAACTCCCTAAACCGTGAGCCGTTTAACAGCTTGATGCAACATTGCTGCGGAGCACGGACTACGGCAAGTAGAGGGATGCCTGACGTGAGCAAAGCTCCGTCAACCTTGCCTGTATGGGGATTGATCTAAAGGTCCTTTGGGGGAATTTTTTAGGGTTCCCGTAGGTTTATACGGGGATAGTATGAGGTAAACTAATTGCCATGCTGGCCAGTTTGGGACCAGATTTTTGATCAATTCCCTTGTATGACCTAGATTTGACCTTTCATTCTGCATTTTGGCAGGCTGGTGGTCTCTTTATGTAAGGCCTCTGTTTTCCAGAGCACTTCTAGGCATCCGGATTATAGTTCATAGTGACAGTGCTGGGTGTTACAGGGAACAGATAAGGAGACCACGTTTCAAAAAGGTCGGAACTAGCAATTAGCAAGCGGCCCTGCGGTCTGTTTTCCTGTACGAATTAGTGACCTCATGGATATGGTAGTTTTGTCTTCTTTTCCATTCCGTTCACATATCGAAATGCATTGGCCTCGTCAACATTGATGTCCAGCCCTGCCTGCAATTTGGCCTTTACCATCGAGGGTTGGTCTTTGATTTGACGGCATGAAAAAAGTCAGATCCAGCTTTGAAGGCAGAGCACAGGTGCGTTTGTATTTGCTTTTGATATTTTTCCAGGAGATTCTGTTGCTGGTGCCTTGTCGCCAGCAGTCAACAAAACTCTCCCATGAATGCCGCTGCTCGCCGTGGCAAACATTGACATGACGTAGCATCTTCCTGCACTGCTAATCGTGCTCTGATTCAGCTGGTAAATCACGGAAGTGTTCTACTTGCGCGGAGAAAATGCAGCTTTTGCCATGTACCTGAGGATTCCGATGCACCCTTGCGGCCGAGGGTTCACAGGGTCCTGGTTCCATACCGCCCTATGCTGTAAGGTTTTCAGTTTAGGATATAGGGTTGGCTTGAACCGTATACAGGAGTTAATTTCCCGACAGGTTTCTCCCGCTTGGGGAAGAGCCACTCAGACAAACTCGCCGAATGCTTGGACAGTAGCGGTGTGCATGCAATTAGTTACAACAGTATAAAGATGCAGTGTGCATCTGACCCGAAAACCCGATGCCTCAATCCGAATCCACAATTTAATTCCACAAAAGCCAGGCAAGACTCCATGCACATTATGTACTTGGAACATCTCCGCCCTTTTGTTTTTGTGGTTGTCGGGCATCAACAACTACTTCCAGCAACAATATGGAACGTGTATCTGCAATTACGCATGGCTTTAGAATCCGCAAAATCGAAAATCAAAAGGCGCGAATATGATTGTCTCCTATTATTATGTGAGATTACACAACATTTCGGTTGTTCTTCAGTATACGAACAGCATATGTAATGTTCGTTGGTTCAGCCACGAAAAAGACGCTGTTTGCTTCAGTTTTCGGATCAAGGCTTCAGCGCGCTTAGCTTCAAGTAGACTTCTCGAATCTCTCTCGACCGCCATGGCCGCCGAGGAAGCAACAAAGACCCAGAGCCAGGGAGAGTTTATCCTCTACACAACCCTGAGGATCCTTGGCGTGCTTGCGTCGGTCTACTTCTTCCTGACCCTGGGCTGACTTAAAAGACCTAGAAGAGATTTCGATTTACGAAACAGAAAGGTATCATCAGGACGCAAATTCAGATATTGTAGTAGCTTGTCAAAAGCGTCACATCCCTTTTGGATCCCTGGTAGACTAGAGCCGCTGATCGCTAGGGTACCTGAAGGGGACCAGAATTTTAACAGCCCTCGACACATTGAACTTACCCCATCGCGGCGCAGACGTCACGAAGTCCCTCAACTGTAAGACTAGCTGTTCAGGCCCTACACCTAGGCCCCCGGCTCAACTGATAACCCCCATCCCTGTTTTTTGAAATCTCACTATAGCTTCATCTCCAGCCTAGGATGGGCTTGGACATGATGGGTAGCTCCTTCCTCGTCCTAGGAGGTAAGGGTGCAGGCTTCGGAGACCATCTTCCGGATTTAGGGTTCAGGGTTTGGGGTTCAGAGGTCTTGAGTTCAGGGTTGGGGTGTGTGGTTGAGGCTTCGGGTCTACCAAGGTTAGCACCTGGGTGGGTAGGCCCCGAAAATTCTCATATAGGGGTAATGGAGATTTATTTGACCCATGGCTTCTGTTTGGGACAAGACGGACAAAAGACATAGTCATCGGCAAGGTGACACAGCTGATCAGGTGTCGGCAAGTAATGGTGTTAGATACAATAACTAGTAAGGGCATAGTTCCAAATCAGGGTTCCAGCAGCTGGACGCGCAAGATCTACGCGTACACATAATATTGATCAGGAAGCTTACAGATATTCACCGAAAACCAACAATAAAACCATGCCTCATATGAGATGTATGGAGGCTTGCTGGAGCTGTTGACTCGAGGGGCTCAGGTTTAGGGGTTTGCTTTAGGGTTCAGGGCTTATAAGGACCTAGGGTGTGAATGTGGACTTCAAGCTGTAGGCGGGGGAAGTGGCTGTTGCGGAGTGGGCGTGCTTGGGATGGTTGGTGGGGATTAGTAGGATGTGGGATTTCATGTTCAGACTTAGCACTTTACCTGGGGTTTGGGATCGATTTGTTGATGCTGAACCGGGATTGGAGCAGTGCATCCTTATAATAATCCTTAGAACATCTTTCAGAATACTCGTAGTACATTGGTTCACAGCCCCTTCAGGTTCTCCTTGATTCCCAGATGCCCTAAATTCTGGTGGTTTCCATGCTTGTTTCTGATCCTAATGGGGACTTCTGATTAGTAAGCGGGCTCAGAATAGAGCTAAATTCTGCCTGAACGGAAAAATGGGTATGGCATAGAGATAACTTTTGTCTGAGTGTAAGGGGTTCATAACAAGTCAGGAACGGAATAATTCCATGCTTCTTTTCCAGGGTTTAGAGTTTAGGGGTTAGGGTTTAGGGTCCAGGGTTTGGGGTCTTGGGTTTAGTGGTTTATGGCTTAGTGATTAGAGGGTAGGGTTTAGGGGTTAGGGTCTAGGGCTTATAGAGTTTAAGAGTTCCTCTCGGAACCCACCAAACAAGTTTGTCGAAGCTTGATTGGGCGACTCCGGACTATTTTGCATCCTCTCTTGTTAGGGGAAGGCGGGGCAGGGGCTTGTTAATCAGAGTCCCCCCTTAAACCTTTAGCATTAAACCTTAAGCCCTGTACCGCAAATAAACCCTAAACATCCCTAAGCCCTAAACCCCTAAACCCTAAACCTCATGAACATCAGCAAGTTGAGGGCTATCGACAGACACGTTGCAATCACTTGCGAGGCGAATTGTTCACGATCACCGACAACCCAATAACAGGCGCGCAACCATTAGCTCACGCGCGTAGCTGTGAGAAGGTTGAGGATTTAGGGTGTTATAGTCCCCAAGGGTTCGAGGTTTTAGATAATTATCGTCCCCCATGTGAAGTAAGGTTCGTAGTTAAAGGATTTGGGTTAAGTTATATACTAGAGTCCCCCCACATCCGGTAAGATTGCATTCTCCGTTTGGCTACAGTAGTTTGTCGGAGGAACATAGCTTCCCTCGTGCAACCGCCCAGCAGGCACCATTGTCGCGTCCAGTTGCGCAGCATGAGCAGAGTCAGAATCATACAATGCAAATAAAAAGCTACAACTTTTTATGAACACTGGCAAAGCGGAGGAGAACCATAGTCCATAGTCATGATATTACACAGTAGCAGGCATGGCGAACAACCGCAAGGTCACTGAAGAATGTCCTCAGTGGGTTAGAAAAATAGACGAAATGATTTTTTTGCTGAAGTATTTCTGTGAATTATGCAGTGTATCGCAGGTCTCATGGTGGGAATCTTGGCGACCGTCCTCGTCCAGTCCTCTTCCACGACACATGGCTATGTCTCAAGGCAAGTTCCGCTTTTAAGTGTAGACTCCGCAGTTTTGTAACGGTGAGCAGCGTTTTTGTGGCACCATTGGTTGTATGAAACCTCTAGCCTTAAAGAACCCATCGACCCCCAGACTGTGAACTACTGAACGCCAGGTTTAGGGTTTAAGGATTAGGGTTTAGGGATTAGGGTTTAGGGTTTAGGGATTAGGGATTAGGGTTTAGGGTTTAGGGGTGCAGATTGAAGCAATGAGCTGTGTGGACAAATAAGGAGCACATCAATCGTGGTGGGCCTGGTGGGTGCTGGGCAGGACCGACTCAGAGCGTACTTATAGTGGAAAAGAAAGTAGAAGCTAGTATATGATTTGGGGTTTAGGGTAGGAATATATGTATATGGTTTGGGGTTTAGGGTAGGAATATATGTATATGATTTGGGGTTTAGGGTAGGAATATATGTATATGATATGGGGTTTAGGGTAGGAATATATGTATATGAATTGGGGTCTAGGGTAGGAATATATAGGGAACTATTAATTTGATAGTGGAGAACCAAATGCAAAAGAACATGGAAAATGAAATGGAAATTGTGTTTTTAGGGATTTAGGGTCTTAGGTGTGTTTGGAGAGTCAGGTGACTTGGTAAGTAGGATATGGATGGGCATTGCATACATATACTTGCATAGTCCCTCTGACCGTGGTGAAGTGGCGTTCACAGTTTAGCTCGGGCGTCGCATCGCAACCTCAATGTATGCTTTTGAAACGACTTTGCTTTTTTGGTAGGTGAGCGTTGGAAATGCCATCCCCATTATCATGGGAGCAGCCCGTCAGCAATCAGGTACGTTCTAATTCGACCCCTGTTGTATGCCATGTAGGCGCAAATGTCACATGTGCCTCGCCTGAAAATGACACGTGTCTGACAAATATGCTAGCTCCATAAGATAGAGTCCAGCGCCTCTGCCCCCAAATGCTATACTCCGCATTTTATGGACCTCACCAAAAGAGATGCCTAGTTGGAAGGGCAAAGCCCTAAAGCCTAAGCCCTGATACCAATACCCTAGACCCTAGAGCCGAAGCCAAGGCCAACATTGGCACATCTGTGACCAACAGCATCGCTTTGCCCTCAGCTACGCGCTATTGCTACAACAGCGAAGATCTTCTAGCCACACTAGCAATCTTGTGGCAGACAGGGCTTGGAGCTGAGGTGTCTATGGCGCATGCCGGCGAGCGTCTCGAACTTGAGCGCGCCTTCTCTGGCGCAACTGTGCATGACATGTTCAACATGTCCCTGGTCAGCCTTGATTAATGGTGGTGTCTTCTTGCTAGCGAAAGTTTTCGTACATGTAATTGTATTACTTGCAAGCTTTCAAGCTCGAAGCAGCGACCAGCTGCGGATCTGTCTGTCTAGAGTCTAGACCCGCTTGCGTTGATAGCGCCATCTTAGGCTCAGCGTCGCTGTCCTCCTGCCTGAGGAAGCTTCCTGACATGCAATGAAGACTTTGGGCATGCTAGCTGGTTCGGCTATTGCACTTATCAAGTTTGACTTGCCAATCACGAGTAAATGCCTGCTTTGCCACAAAACGAGTGGTAGCAATGCGGCGGCAGACGCAGCATCAGCATCAGCATCAGCATCAGCAGCAGCAGCAGCAGCAGGAGGAGCAGCAGCTACGATTACAATTACAACTCCACTACCAATATATATGCGTATATATATATATATCACCACAGTTGCCGCTACTACTAAGATGTTGACTTGCTATGTTTTCTCAGATCATCCTCGGCGCAATCACCGGAGAGGGCGGCCTTCTGTTCTACATTTCCAAGGGCATCGCAGACGCGGCCATGGGTGGCGGTGGCGGCGACATCACCTTTACATCCCCGACGAAGTTCTGAGATCAGCTTGACGGAAGACTTTCCAGCTTGTGTTTTCTTGAGCTCAAACAGGAACGCATGCAACTGTGTCAGTATGATCGTGAAGCTGATCCCAGGTTCATTGTCAGCCCGGTGACAGACCTCTTTGTCGACCCGAACAAGGATGTCACCAAGGCCCTTTCCCTGGGCCCTCCCAAAGCCACGGCCATGCCAGCTGGAGTGACCTGCCCAGCGAACATGGACTGCACCAACTACTTCTGCGTGTCTTCGGCCATGAGCAAGAACTGGGGGAAGGCGCGCAAGACCCACAGTGCTCAGTGAGTTTTATCGAAAAAAATGGTGTTTGACGAAGTTGGAGTTCTCTTATGCACTCACCAGAATACATGGGGTGACCCAGAATGTTGAGAAAGATCCACTCCTATACCGTGTATGTAATCAAACTGCAAGCTCTTCATACCTTTTACACATTTCTAGATCGTTCGGAGAGACAAGTTTGCGTCGCCTAAGTCTTCCTTCCAACGTGTTGAGGCTCCGAGGGTACCTGTGTCAAGGGCAGTTTTGCGGCGGTTTTAATGTTCTTCAGGATTATAGAGATACCTCATAATCCTGCGGCTTAGCAGCATTAGGGGGTCTGCTGTTTCTTGCAATGATAGATTCTGAATTTTTGGGCAGGTGGGAACATCTTCTTGGGGCACTCAGCGGGAGATTTGGATGATCTAGCAAGCCAGCAATGATGGAGCATGGGGGCGACTTCTCAGAATCATGCTGTCCTCTGTGTGTGTGTGTTGTGTCTGTCCAGTGTGAGCGTGTGTGTCTTCTCCTCGTATTCTAGTTGTTAAAGGGATCAGATTAGCGTTCCCTATATATCTACCACGGATCCTAGATCCTGATCCCCAAAACGCAGCCGGATTTGCATTTTTTGGGCCTGATCTACGACTCACATCGCCCCGGCAAATAAGCACATTTGCCAGCGTACTTGCTACCATTGTGTATTAGACAGAGGAATGTTTGTCTTTAGGAGGGTTGGGGGGTTACTTTCTTAGGGAGACGACATGCAGTCCACCCGAATCTTTTGCAGCGGAGGTGGACAAGACGAACTACGCAACCCTCCAGACGTGCACCGACGTGTTCCCAACCAGGATTGCAAAAGTAGGGGCCCAAATATCTACCAGTTTTATGATCCTAGGCTCCTTGTATGATTCTAGTAAAAACTGCCTCAAATACCCCTCAAGTAGATATTGATACTTACTCGTGTCGGCCTTTACATTAGGGCTGAGGGTGCCGAAAAGCGGCCTCTTCTGCTTGAAGCCTTGGCTCGCTCCTGCGCTATTTTCCGGAAAGAAGAGCATTTCGGAGTACTCAACCCCTATTCCCCTTGAGATGAAGGGCCTCGACTGCATGGCCTATCTCTTGCAATCCAAAGAAAAGGACCTTCGACTGTGGTTCGGACACTTGCTACATGGAGGCCGATAAGTTTTATACGCAGTCCATCACCGGCGGCGTTATCATGGATGAAGGCCACTGAGTTCCCTGAACCCTATACCATATACCCTGACATGTAATCTTCAGGAAGATGTCATTCTTGTGTAAGTCTTCAACTTCAACTTTGTCATAAGAGTCCGGCTGTTTTTGATAGCAACACTCTGAAAAAGCTTTCTTCCGGAGTGGATGGGAAACCTAGATGCGGATATTATGGTCCGGGCTAGCGGATGCATTGCTCCGCATTCAAATTGGAACAACTTTCAAGTCAGGGTCTGTGGGCAAGAGGGATCTCAGTGTATTGGGGTGGGTCCAACTTTCAGAGATGTGCAGTACTGAACAGAAATTATGTGTGAACTTTTTGAAATTTTATACATCAGGTAGTCGTGAGAGGGGTTCCCTAGAATTCTTCAACTCCCCATATGTCCCTATGTCCTTTAGGTTTATTGCCATGTTCAGAAAATGCGCATTTGTGCACATAGGAGAAATTCGGCCACCTGCTTCTTGAAAACATACTGCTTCTTGGATAGGTCAAGCTGTACATGGGATGACATAGACGGTGAGTAAGGCATAGCCTCCGTAACTCCTAACACGTCATTGCTCATGACTGCAGTTGATAGCCATTTATCGTTACGATAAAGGAGTCCTAACATTGCTGCTGACATGACACTCACAAAGCAACAGCTGCAAAAACAATGGTAAGAGTACTTCCAAAAGCAGGGTTCCTCCTTGTATACACCCAAGTTGTACTCCGTACTATGTGTTCTCAAAAAGGGACCTATCTTTCGCAACCCCCACGTGAAAAGCAAAG